ACCTTGACCATGAGCTAGAGAGCTTTTAATGAATAATTAGAGAAACACCAACTACCTCCTTAGCACAACCAGGGACCAGAATACAATAGTAACATGTGGCAGAACTTTGATTCTAGCACAGTTCTGAGAGCATGGCATACAAGGTTGATGTGCAGTCCCAGCCCAACTGAATTCTAAGCCTTGTGGTTACAGCTAGCTTTAAGGTGCTGCAAGATAATAGTGGGATTGCAACACCAGTAGGCCATATCAGTATACACGATTGGGCTAGCACCAGCCCCCTTGCTGGCATAATGGGAGCTGGAGATCCAAATGTTGTTGAGCAGAATTGATGGCCATAGTCAGTTCCCCTGGAGCTTTTTAGGATGTCACATTTGGGAGGCCATCTTGCAGGGGACCAGTCTTGGACTCATAATTCTTACATCTCATTGCCTATTTGGCCATGATTGATTTTTCTCTAACACTTCTGATTCATTCACAGATCCGATCTGCTTTTACTAGGATTTAAAAAAAAATCTACTTTTCTAAATGAGATTAACATAGTCTTTGTTTTCTTAAACTCTCATTTTCTGACTTTTAAAACTTCCTTTTGAGTTAAATGTATACAAGTTATCCTCTAGTAACTTAAATTTTTTAGATTCCTATAGTTATATTTCTAATATGATCTATCCCTGAATTTTCTCTTTTTAAATAACCAGCTTTTGGTTTTACTGATTGTTATGTACAAAGCATTTGTGATAAAAGCATCTTTCATGAGAGATGTTGGAAGACAGACTGAAGGCCCCAGATGGGGATTGAAGGTGATGAAGAGTGCTGGATGTTAATGACTGGCAAAAAGTACACCTTGTAGACTAATAGGATTGCCTAGTTAAGGGAGATTACATGTGAACCAAAGACAGAATAAATAATGAAAACCAGCACATACTGCAAAGCAAATAAAGTTTAGCAAGTCTTCAGAGCTGACAAGACTAACACAATGATGAAAGGGTGGCTGATGACATTTAAACTCTGATACATGGTTAAAAAGAGCATAGAGGAGCTAATAACCTGGCATGGGGAGTAAAGATTTTTGAGGAAAACCACCAGAACGAATCAATCATGAAACACTAAAACAGGACAACTTTTTAGCCCTTCTCGCCTTACTTTACAGATGAGAACACTGAGGCCTTCTGAAGATTACACAGTTACAAAGTTGCATAAGCAAGATTAGAACTACATTTTTACTCCAAGTCCTCATCCTTTCCAACTGTCTCTTGAATATTATAAAATTTTAATTCATAGCATTAAAATTAACTTATTACTTCAAGTTCTCTTTGAAAATAGTCAGGTTCAGTAATGCAGTGTTATAATCATTGGTTACAAGTAAGATATTATCGAGAAAACAGAAGTGATGGGAATTGACATTTCAAGGCTGAAATGCCCCAACTCTAAAGACAATGATACACACACTATTACTTTCTCAAACTGAGAAGAGTTGTATCATCTGGGATAGCCTGTGGTTAAAAATGGATTACTTCCTATAACAACAATGTTGGAGAGCAAAGGAACAATGACAATTTTTTTGGTTTTTTTTGGAAGAACAATCATTTTTCTCATTCACATACAGACAATAAAAACAATTTCTATTATAAGTAGCCATTTATCTTCATTCATCTTCTGTATGTATTTATTCACACTGTCTCATTAAATTCTGATATTGTTCAGAACTCCTTCAGTATGTTGTAATTTTACCATCTGGGATGCATCAGTCATAAAATGTATATACATTGTAATAAAAATTGATGCTTCACAAGAATTCATATTGGCTGTACTCCATCTTAAAGACCTTTGTTCTGTTGAACAATGGAACTGTGTAATATTTCAATTCAAGAAGAATTGATCTTATTTTCTGTTTTTTTCAGGCTCTGCTATAACATCCTAAAATAACATTCATGAAATACAAAAATCTTTGGAGAATTTATGTAAAATCTATATGGAATTTTCCTATTTTCTCTTCTTTAGCTCATGATTTTTACTTTAGTGCTACAAATATCTATAATGATTATACTGTATTAAGTTGTTTAGAGCTGTATAATGGAGTTCTACAGACCTTGGTGGTTTCTTTAATAAATTCAATTTAACTAGTAATGCATTGTAATGTATTGTTACAAATAAAAAATTGCTCACTAATCCCTTTCCCATCTGTTAGAATATTTATCCAGTTCCAGATGCTTCACAGAAATATAGGAGAAATTGTGCAAAATTAGGTAAGTGATATGAAAAATTCCTGCATGTAAATCACTTTTTAAGCATTTTGGGGTCCACACACAGAGAACAGTTTTTCTGTCATCAATTCATTCGTTGCTGGGGACACAAAAATAATACCTTTTCCTTCATATAGCTTACAGTCTAGTGGTAGGAAGTAGGCACTGCACATCACTATAATATGAAGCAGAATGTTATAAATACCAGAGGACATGGTATTAAGAGGACCTGAAGGTCAAGCAGGGAGAAATTGCAGCTTGTTGGGGATATCCAGAAAGACTTAGATTTTGAAAGTAGACAATTTACAGATTTGGTAGAGTAAGGAGGACAACATGAGCAAAGATACAGAGACAGAACACATTGGATATATTTGGGATATATCAAATAATGTAAGTTGATGCAGTTTGAAAGCCTAATAAAAGAAAGTAATACTAGCAACCTTTTAATAAGCACCTACTGTGTGCTGTGCTTCTTGCTTCATACCATACATGCATTATTTTCTTGAACTTTCAGAATACTCTATGAGGTAGGTCTAGTAGTATTCCCACCTTCCAGGTAGAAAGATTTTAAATGATTTACCCAAAGTCACACAGCTATTCAGTAGATGTTCTTAGATCTTAATGTAGGTCTGACTGGTAATAAAACCCATACTCTTAACCACTACCATATAGAGTTATATTGTGGAGATTTCAAATACAGAAATGGGAACTTTATTCCAAATTTCTTTTAGCAATAGGAAACTATATCAGCAAGAGGACAAATTATCAAGAGTTTATAAGATTAACCTGTTATCAGTTGAAAGAACGTGGGGAAAGAAAATTGACTGACTGGTTATCAACAGTCTAAGTGAACTAATGAGGAATTGAACTAGGTTTATAGAAGTACGTAGGTTGAAAAGGTGGAAAGACACACAGAAACCTTTTTAATTTTTTAAGATTTATCAAAATAACTATTTAAATGGAGGGATGAGGAAGTAGGGAGTTTTAAAGTTGACCTTGGGTGAAATTGGAGACCAGGTAATAGTAAATGGAGAAGAGAAAATGATTTGATGGAAAAAAACCTCAGTTTGGCCCAAATTCAGGGTGCTTGAGGAACATACATGTGACAATGTCGAAATTATTTGAATGTTGATGTGAAGGTGAAACTTGAGATGGAGGTCAGGAGGCTTGAGATGGAGATTTGGCAGCTATTTGTATGGGAGAAAGTGTTAAAGCTAGCTGAGTGAAATCCCTAAGGAGGAAAATGTAGAAAGAGAAGTTTGAAGATAGAACCTTTGGAAAGGCCTACATTTAGGGACTGGAGGGAGAAAAAGGAACTAGTAATGGAATCAGTAGTTGTTAGAGGTTTAAGAATAAGCCTTTCAACTAGGTCAGTGATTTTCAATTGGTGTGTCACAAGAATTTTTAAAACATGCAATGCCTGGCTATTTAGTCAGGGACACTGACCTCGTTTTACCTAGATTGTCAAAAAAATGACAACAGCCAACACAATAACTGGTGTGAATGAATCAAAATTAAACCCATTTATTTGTCAGCTCAGCAAAATATATATATATTTTTTGATGTGCTGCAGAATTTTAGTAATTAGTTCAGGTGTGCCCTGAGATGAAAAAGGTTGACAATCATTGGACTAGGTGATTAGAAAATCCTTGGACTCCTTTTAAAGAGATCTTTGCTGAAAGCCAGATGGTAAAGTATTTAAGAGTGAGTAGCTGACTAGGATGTCTGGCAACCAGTTTATACTCTCTACTGTCTGACCTTTTCTTAGAAGAATTAGATAGTAATTATTTTCTGCTTTATATATCTCATAGCTTTAATTATTTGCATTATTTCCTCTTCAATATGTTTCTTTATAGAAATATTTTAAAGTTACTCCATTTTGTGAGAATAGTTTACATAATATAATCTATAAACCTATTTAGTCAAATATGTTACTCCAGTACATTGCAATATGGTAAAGGTAAATGCACAACTGACAAGCACCTCTGTGAAGCACTCTGAGTTGTGGTCCCTCCCACCTTTCCAGCAGGAGCTTCACATCCCACTTAGGACACTTGACCTGCGTATGTATGGTCTGAGGAGTCTAATATCAATTTGATACTAAGTATCCATAAGGCCTAGTTTTCTTATTTATTAAATAAAAATAAGTATAAGTAGAATATTCCTAAATGAGCTTGTAATGAAAAATCTCATGTTTCTAGAACTGTACCCCAACTTCTTACCCTCAGTTTAGTTGTTCACATGGACTCAAGTACCTGACTTAGAATCGTTTGCATCTCTCGTCATATTTGATTTTTAGGTTGGTAGGCCTTCACTCAGCAGCCAATGTCATGTCCTCCTCCTCCTACTTTGTTTGCAGCTCATTGTGGAGCCTTGTGGAGGACGGATGATGGTGTCTTGGAGCACGACAGCTAAAGGAAAGCCTGGACAAAAATAATTATAATTTTTTTTTTTGATGACCAGATTTATGCTTCAATATTGCCAGCATCACAAGAAGATAAAGATGCCTGATATTACTACTACTGTTTAATATTTTTGTGAAACTAATGTAAAAGTAAAAATATGAAGAACACCAGCAAGGTGGCAGAATAGGAGGCTTTGAACTTTCCTTACTCTCACAAATGCACTGAATAAACAGCTACGTGCAAATCAGTTCTTTTGGAAAGAAATACAGAAACTAGTTGAGTGACTCCTTATATAATGGGTGACTGAGAAAATACCCACATTGAAATGAATAGGAAAAGCTGAGACACACTCATGCCATAAATCCTCAATGTAGCAGCTTATAATCATGAAAGAACTCTCAGCTGCCAGCTTCTTCCTGAGGAGCAGAGTGTTTAGACCACACATCTAGCTCCCCAACTTTTATGGCTGCTACCCAAGGGTCTAGCTCTTGTCACCTAGCTCTAGCTGTAAGTGGGGCTCAGTATTTGTTAAAGAGTTGCAACCACACTAAACAAAGAGGTGGTTTTAAACAGAAATGTATTTACATGGCTAAAACACTGGGATCAACACAGAGGGAATAGGCCATAACACAAGGATACCAATTTCTCCCTTGGAAGGGGTTTGACTGCATACTTTTCTAGCTGCTGCCCAAGGGTTGAACTTCTAATCGGTTTGCATTTGGAAACTGACGGCTGTTTCAGAAGCTTGAAAGGGCTTGTAGGTTCTTCCCTTACCTTCTCTTCCCTAACTCCAATGATAAAAGCATGGTTCCAGTTTCTCCCTTAAAGGAGCTTGTCCGCCCTAAGTTTTATGACTGTCATTTGAAGGAATGGCTCCCAAATCATCTGTGTCAGAGAGCGAAAATAGCTCAGCATCCACAAGTCCCCACTCACCATAGAAAACAAAAGGTGATTTTTTAACAGACATGTGAGTACTCTCTGCCCCTACCCCCTCCTCCCCAGCCTCAGCACAGAGGGAGCAGGCAAAAATTAAGGCTCCCCTTTTCTCCCTGGAAGGGAATTGACGTGCTTTTCCGATTGCTGCCCAAGGGTCAGGCTTCTAATTAGAAACTTGAGTCTGATGGGTCACATAATTTGTAGTCCTATGGGACCCTGAATGGACATGTGGGAGCTTCCCATGCTTTATTTCTCCAGATCCACCCCAGTGATAAAACTAATGGAGATAAGTGATTGACCCGTCAGATAATTCAAAGTAATGGTCATAAAGATGCTCACTAAAGTCAAGGGAGTAATGCATGAACAATCAGAATTTTAACAAAAAGAAAATATAAAAAAGTACTAAAAAATTTATAGAGCTAAAGAATACAATGAGTTAACTGGAAGTTTCAGTAAAGGGGTTCAACAAGAGACTAGATCAAACAGAAGAAAGGATCAATGAGTTTTAAGACATGTCAGAGGAACAAAAGAAAAAATAATTAAAAAAAAAATTACTTAAAGGGCTTATAGGACACCATCTCCTGGATGAATAAACTTATTATGAGAAACTTAGAGGAAGAAGAAAGAACGGTATAAAAAATTATTCAATGGAATAATGGCTGAAAACTTCCCAAAATCTGTGGAAAGAAGTAGACATCCAGGTCCAGAAAACATAAAAAGCACCAGAGACCCACACTGAGACATTATAATCAAATTGTCAAAAGTAAAGAATTGAAAACAGTAAGAGAAAAGCAACTTGTTATGTACAACTGAACCCTCACAAAACTATAAGCAGATTTTTCATCAGAAACCTTGTAGGTCAGAGGGAGTGGGGTGATATATTCACAGTTCTGAAAGAAAAACTGCCAACCAAGAATACTTTACCTAGTAGCAAAGTTGTTCTTCAGAATGGAAGGAGAGATAAAGATACTTCAATATAAGCAAAAGCTGAAGGAATTCATCACCACTAGATCTGTTTTACAAGAAATGCTAAAAAAATATTTTTAAAGCTTAAGTGAAAGGATGCTGATTAGTAATGAAACAAAGTATAAAACTGGTAAAGGTAAATATAAGGTCAAATTCAGAATAATATGTCATGCTGGTATGTAAATCACATATTACTGTGATAAATGTTAAACTATTAAAAATGACTACAAAAATTTTAAAGAATATACAACAAAAATATGTCCATTATGATATCAAAAACAAAATGTGGGGGAGAGTAAATGTGTAGAGCTTTTGTATGCTATTGAAGTTGTCAGCTTAAAATAGACTATTATAACTATAGAATGTTTTATGTAAGTCTCATAGTAACTACAAAAAAAAGCCTATAATACCGAAAAGATGACAAAGGAATAAAAGCATACCACACAAAAAATACCAGATCACAAAGCATGAGAGCAAGAGAAAGAGAAAGGATCTACACACCCATAAAAGAATTAACAAAAGGTTAATAGCAAGCCCTTATAAAAAATACTTTAAATGTAAATGGACTAATTATCCAATAATAGACTGAAAGTGAAGGGATGAAAAAGATATTCCATGCAAATGGAAACCAAGAGAGCAGAGGTTACTATGCTAATATCAGACAAAATAGAATTTAAGTAAAAATTTGGGAAAAGTCAAATGAGGTTATTATATAATGCTAAAGTGTCAGTTTATCAAGAAGATTGAAAATGTTTATGCATCCAATATTGGAGCATCAAAATATATAAAGCAAATATTAATAGGAGAAATAGCAATATAATAATAGGGGATTTCAATACCCACTCTTAATAATAGAGATAGATCACTCAGACAATATCAATATGGAACCATTGGACTTAACTACACTTTAGATGAAACCAACCTAACAAACATACAGAGGACATTCCATTCAACAGCAGAATACGTATTCTCAAGTGTACATGCAACATTCTCCAGGGTAGATCATATGTTAGGCACAAACCCAGTCTTAACAGGTAAAAGAAGATTGAAATTATATCAAGCATCTTTTCTGACCACAGTGGTATGAAACTAGAAATCAATAACAGGAGAGAGGCATTTTCTTTGAATGCATTCACATGAGTGGAATTAGTAGGTCAAAAATTGTGAACTATGGCTATTATACTATATTGGCAATTTTTTCCCCAAAGCTATTTGTAGTTACCCTGAAAGGTATATGATAAGTGAGTTTCTAAATATATAATTAACTCATGAGTTAATAGATTCTTTAAATGGTGCATATCCTTGGCTAGTTCTATTAACTCATAGCATATCTAAGTATTTTTTATTTAAAAATAGGTTTTGTATTGCAAAATAAGCTCCTAGTATTTTTACTTGTATTTTAGTTTAATTATATTTTAGTATGCACATAACAATTATTGTTGAAGTTAGAAATTGAGGGCTTAATCATACAATGCTAACTTTCATATGTTTAAAATTTTTAAAATAAGAAAGCTCTGAGAAATATGTTTTTTAAATAACTTTAATAATAGATAAAAGGTAAAATTATAAATGCAGAAATTTCTTTAATTTTAAAAAACATTTCATATTTTCATATGGTAAAATATTTAGCTGCATATGATTTTCCTCAGAATTAGAAAAAGAATGGGATCATCAAGTCATGCTATTATATATACAACCAGAGGCAGTACTGCTTAGTTGGTAATACCACCAAATTTGGAACCAAACTGACTTCATTTAAATCTCACTCTACCATGTATAAGCTCTGGGACCTTAAATTACTTTTCTTTGCTTCAGTTTTTTCTTTCTTTTTTTTCCCCCCTAAAACATATCTTTATTGATTTCAGAGAGAGGAAAGGAAGTGGGGGGAGGGGAGATAGAAACATCAATGATGAGAGAGTCATTGATCAGCTGCCTAGCCCGCAACCCGGGCATTGCCCTGACTGGAACTCGAACCCCGATCTCCTGGATCCTAGGTCGATGCTCAACTGCTGAGCCATGCCCGGCCAGGCCAGTTTTTTCTTTAAAAATGGCTATACTAAGGATGTTGGGAAGACTATATAAATTGTGTGCATAAGACACTTAGAATAATATCTGGATCATAGCGTTCAATAAGACTTAGCTATTATTATAGCAAAAGTATAGGATATCTACCTGATGAGTGTGATATAGTAGATTAACTTATTAACTATAAATATTATAGTTAACCTCTGCTCTTCTCCTGCCCCATCATACTGTTCTTATTTTTAATTTTGGAGCATTTTGTGCCCAAAGTGATTAATGCATCTACTTTGTTCTTTTGTTTCTGGGTAGTTGGAAACATACATGTTCAACATGGGTAATCTTTATAGGATAGAGAGTAGGTGGGCCAAGGGGGTAGAAAAGAGCTATTTTTTGCATTTTGGATTGAACTTTTCTTATATTCCTGAGTCCTTATTCTTTTATTTTCCAGATTAAATACATTTATGGAAAAAAAAATTTTAATAGTAAGGTAATAGTAGACTATTGTAACACTGCAATGGATTTCTCCGTGGAAAACAACATGTATGTAAACAAAGTGTGGGTTCAGTGTGAGAATGATAGTTGTTTGAAATGGAGGTTGTTGTCAAGTGAGGATGCAGCCAAAGTTGATCACAATGAACCGTGGTACTGCCACATGAACACCGATACAAGATACAATAAGTGCTCTGTTTCGGAAGAAGACTTTCCCGAGGAGTCTCAGTTTCATCAAAGCGGACTTAAGATTGTCTATTCACAGCTACCTCTTGGTAGCCTGGTTTTGGTAAAATTTCTTAGTTGGCCAAGGTAAGATTTTTGTTACTGTTTTATAATGAACTGTTGACATATAGTCTTTCTAATTTTATGAATTTTTAAAACTTTTAAAATAATTGACTTTTTCTCTATTGTTTATCTAATTATTTATTGTTTCCTGATCTCATATTATTCCTTCCCTGACTTCTTTGGGTTTTATTCTCCATTTTCTGGTTTCTTAAGTTGGAAAGTTACGTAACTGATTCAAATGTTTTCCCTCCTGATATAGGCAATTAAAGCTATAAATTTCTCTTGAAGCACTGCTTTAGCTACAAATTTCAATATGTCATGTTTTATTACCATTGAGTTTGAAAGATGTTACTAATTTTCATATGATTTTTTCTTTGAACTGAGTTGTTGGAAGTGTGTTTTTAAATTACCAAATATTTGAGGATTTTAAAATACCTTACTGTTACTGAATTCTAATTTAAATCTATTGTAGTCATTTTCATTGAATTTTATTTTATGGCCCAGCATGGCCTATCTTGAGAAGAATGTGTATTCTGTAATTGTTGCCTAGAAGCTAGACGCATAAAATATATTTTTGTTCTTTTCCTTCCTTTCTTTTTATTTTAGATTTTTATATATTTACTATTATCTACCTCAGTGTTTCCCATTCTAGGTTGATTTTTCCAAGTATGTAATGTGCAGTATATAGTTTCATGTCTTTTTTATTTCAATTAAGTTTTTAAAAAAATTATAAGCAATTCTGTTGCATTGTTTTGATTTTCCTTATTTTGGGACCTCTATATTACTTATGGTGGATCTTCTTTGTTTATCTTTGGTATTACTTTTTCTTCAACTCTTCATCTTTTCATTTTTAAAAATTTAATTATTTTTTCTTTTCGATCTTTTATCTTTCTAAAGGTATTTACCAATTGAGCTTAATGTCTTTTGTGTTTTTCCAGTTCAGTCTTTATTGAAAAATTTAAAAATACTTTTATGGATTTTGCCACCTCTCTTTTCAGATCTTTCTTTTTTCCAACCATCTATTTCTTTTAGTTTTTCTAATTCTAATTTATATTTTTTTTCACAGCCTACATTATTTTCTTAATTTCTGTTAACTCAGCTTGAAATCTCAATTACAATTTTGATCTCTTTAAGGGCATGTTTTCAATTTTTATAGGGATGTTAGTCATTTTTCCGTAATAACTTTATATTAGATTCTACTATTTCCCTTTCTTATTGTACACTTTTATATGAAATCAGTTCCTATCCTTTGAGGAAAGAAAAGGAAGTCAGAATAGATTTTTTTAAGTCTGTTTTTTCTCTGTTATTTAGATTGAATAATTTCTATTATTCTGTCTTTAAGTTCACTGATTCTTTCCTTGTCATATTTATTCTGCTGTTGATACTATCCATTGAGCTTTTTATTTTGGTTATTGTATTTTTAGTTCTAAAATTTCCATTTTTTAATATCTTCTATTTATTTGCTATATAATTTTTTTCATTTTGGATCTTATTTAAATCTGTTTTTGCAGGCCACTTCTGCTGCACTGACTATGAGGGAACTTCTTGTTACTGCCAGGTTGTTCCTGGGAACCATGGATCTTTTCACTGTCACCATAGTTTTGCCTTTTCCAGAATGCCATATTGTTGAAATCATACAGTGTCTAGCCTTTTCAGCTTGGCTTCTTTCACTTAGTCATAGGCATTTAAGTTTCTTCTATGTCTTTTCATGAACATAGAGGCTTGTAGATCATTTCTTTTTATCACTATATAATATTTCATTGTCCGTCTGTACCACAGTTTATACATCCATTCACCTACTGAAGGACATCTTGTTGCTTCTAAGTTTTGGCAATTATGAATAAAGTTGCTAAAAAGTCCATGTGTAGGTTTTTGTGTGGACATAAATTTTTCAACTTTTTTGGGTAAATACCAGGGGTGCAATTGCTGGATCATATGATAAGAGTATGTTTAGTTTTTTAAGAAAGTGCCAAACTATCTTCCAAAGTGGCTGTACCAGTTTGCATTCCCACCAGCAATGCATGAGACTTCCTATTGTTCCAAATCCTCACTGGCATTTGGTTTTGTCAGTGTTTGGATTTTAGGCATTCTAATAGGTGTACAGTCATGGCTCCTTGCTTTAATTTGCAGTTCCCTCATGACAGGATGTGGAGAGTCTTTTCATATGCTTACTTGCCATCTGTATATCATTCTTGGTGAGGTGTCTATTTAGATCTTTTGCTATATTTTAATAAAGTTCATTTTCTTGTAGAGCTTATGAATTGGATTTTTCTTATATATCAGTTTTTTATCAGATATTTTCTACATGTCTGTGGCTTGTCTTCTCATTCTCTTGATAGTGCCTTTCACAGAGTAGACATTTTTAATTTTAATTAAGTCCAACTCATCATTTTTTTCTTTCATGGGTGGTGCCTTTAATGTTGTATCCCTCCTCTTTCGTACCATCTCTTTTCTCTATTCTTATTGTTCCTGTCCTCTTCAGTTTGGATTATACTCCCAGCAGTTTCTCCTCAGTGAGTTTTTGCTCTGAAAGGAGTTCTGTTGGTTAGTTTTAAGTGTTCATAGGGCCCAGATTCCTCTAAAGCTTTTAATTTGTTGCTGTCTCCCTCACAGTTTTGGCTGCTGTACTCAGTTTGACTTTCCAAAGAGAACTTCTTTTGGTTTTGAGGTTCTTATATCACAAATCCTTCAGAACTCTGGTTGTCTGCCCCTCCCCACTCTGTTCTCTCTCCTGCACACATCTGCTAATATGTGGATCTTGTAAGTGTCCATAGTTTGTACCTGCCTGCTGCTATTTTGGTGTTCACGTGCATAGCTTACCACTTAGTTTTCTTATAGAGGTTGTGTGTCAGGTTTTGCCTTTGCTATTATATTTGTTCTACCTGTACTTATGGGAAAATCAGGACACTCTAAAACTAAAGCATCATTGCTGCCTTCTTCCCAGAGTCCCTTGCTATTTTATATTGCATTCTCCCACTTAATGTTCTTAAAGCTGGGGTACTCTGGCTCATGTTACCTTGTTTGCATTCATATTGAACTATTTTGCATGAAGAATATAAGATGTTTGCTTTCATAGAGAGACTTCGATGACCTTATTCTAACACATAACACACACACAAGAGGCCTTCAAGTCATATACCTAACCTCAGAATGTAACTGTGTTTGCAATTAGTGTCTTAAAAGAGGTGATTAAGTTAAAATAGGTCATTAGGGTGGACCCTAATCCAATCTGAGTGGTTTTAAAGGAAGAGGAGATTTGTACACACAAAGAGACACCAGGAATGCACACAGCAAATACCATAGGAAGCTATCTGCAAGCCAGGGAGAGGCCCCGAGTAACCAACTCTGCTGACACATTGATCTTGGAATTCTAACCTCCAAAACTGTGAGAAAATTAATTTCTTTTGGTTAAGCCACTCAGGCTGTGGTATTTTTCTATGGCAGCCCTAACAAACTAATACATTCAATATCTTTGCAGGTGTAGAAATCTGCCTGAGATTTGTACCATTTGTTACTGAGGGCTTTTCTAGGGGTCAAATGTGAAATGTTGTAAATATATATTTCTATATAATAATCAGGATGAATATGAAGAGGAACTAAATAGTTAGGTAAGAACAAATATTTTAAAGGTATGAGTATGAACACTCATTTTATGAGGTTACTCATGAAGTATTTGTAGTCCCATGTCATTTTTCATATCTAAACTTAACATTTTGAAAGCAGAGAGTTTGTATTTTCTAATGGAAATTCTGAAGGTTCAATAACCTAATTCATGAGATGGATTTGTTTCTTGTCACGATATATGATATATTACGTTAGAAATTTGATTAGGAATTTCTTTTGCAGTTTTGTGCTTGTATCTGAAGGTTACGACTTGAAATACAAATGAAACATGTTTTACTCCAGTCCCTAAATTACTCTAATCTATGATTAGGATCATCAAAATGCCTGCAAAATACAGCTATCACTACCTTCTTGCTTATTAGATAATAGCAGGATAAATTGCAATAGTAGAATATAAAGCTAGAATTAACCTACTAAAAACAGTCAAACATCATTTCTTGAGTAAGCAATGCTATAGATGAAGTTTTGAGTGGAAACACCAGCTAGCTGGCTACAGAGACACTTAGTGATGTAGCATTATCTGGGTCTGTTCTCCTGAGCCCATGCCTTACACCCAACTTTGAAGACTTAGAAACTCAATCTTAACATCTCAGAGTTAGTCTTTCTTAGGAGAGCTGACCTCTAATAAAGCTAAAGAGAGACTGATACAGAATCTGGACTTGCCTATTTAATCTTTATATAATAAAAACAAATAATTGTGAAAGAATAGTACTTTTCCTATGGTAAGTTCTATGGAAAATCAAATAAGTTATATTTATCTCCACATTGTGAGATAGCACACACATATATTTATAAAAATACATATGCAACCTCTTGCCTTTGGATTATGTCTCTCTGTGCTTGGCAGTGGGAATATCTATATGTACTAAGAAGGGAAATACTAACTCCATGTTTAAGCAGCCTTGATTTTTAAAAATTGCAAATAGCATTGTATTCAGCTCAAAAGAGCATAGAAGTTAAAAGTAAAAATTGGCAGTGCATATCTTATTTAGTATAGCAAGACACATTGTCAAACAGATGCTAGGCTCTGTTTAGGATAACTACCTTGGGCATATTTACACAGAGACACAAAGCTATCTCATGAATATGAAAATTAATTTACAGAAAATATATTTGCATTCTAATGTAATGTAGTAAAACTTTAGTAATAAAATATGCCTTTAAGTTAACAAACCAATCCCCTGATACTTTTTAGATATAGTATATAAATTTGTAAATTGAGATTTCTACTAGAGCCTTTCAGTATTATAAAATATTATTTGATTACTTTTTGTTTGCATATTTTTGCCTGTGGATTAATACATCTATAATGTGTGTGCATGTGTGCACGTGCTTGCGTGTGTGTGCACATATGGGAAATTTCTTCTCCCCAGCAGCGCCTGCAGTTAGGCACAGCCCAGAGATTTCTTGGCAAATATAACGTTCAATGAGCGATGATGCCAGCTCGTTCATTGTGTTTCTCACAGATTAGGGATAAGGCCCAAGTAGAATTTGCTCTCCTCTTAAACACCCAAACCATAGCTGAAAGTAAGTCATGCACTTCTTCTCATTGGACATGAATAAATACATGCTTAGCTTCAAATTCTGTTGAGAGCAATAGCTGTCATATTAAAGATCATGTCCTCGGGATAAGAAATGTGTGAGACATCAGTTTCTTCCTGACATGTTAGCATTTCCCTTGAAGTTACTACTTGTTCTGCCAAAATGTCCCCCTTCTTCCAAGGGGACACTAACAGCTAGTATCTTTTTGACCTTGTTGTATTTGTACATTTTACCTCCCACCACCCACAGATTCTAAAATTGATCATACACTTCCCATGTAATTCTGATACACTTCCACTGAGTCCCCTACTCCTACTTTCTCTCTCCACCTTTAGGCCCCCAGACAATGCTACAGAATTTCTCATCAGCATGAAAGTGAAAAATTGGGAAGGAGATGTGCACAGCACGCTGTCGTCATTGACAGGCTTGGAACTGAAATTGAAGTCAGAGTGAGGGCAAAAGTGGACATCAGCTTTTTTCAATCACAGCAAGTCAAAGAAGATGATAGATGTAGCAGCTGGAGGGAAGTAATCATGTTTTCTACATCTATTGCCTCTTAGCTTTTCCTACAGTTAGGAACATGCCGTGTTAGCTGAGATATACAGAGTAGGAGTCAGACAATCCCTTGCACCGCCTGAAGAAATACAGAAGTGCCCCGAGGTACTTTAGACTTTTGACAACACTTCGCATAACTCATCTTTAAATCAACATGCAGTATTTTCTATAATATAACATGTTTTGAATGAACACAGTTTTTTTCTTTTATTGACATCTAATTATTTTTAGGAGTCATCTCTTTTTATTTGTATATAATAGAGTAATAATTTAAATTGAATACTCCTGGGCCCAGTAGGTTTGATGTAAAGGCAGTTATATCAGAATTTGTATCAGAAAAGTAGCAGCTCATCTTACACATAATTGCAAAATATTTCTTTCTTTCTCGTCATAAGTGTTAGAAATCCTGAGACTGACACTGAATGGAGTAGTTGCTACGTATAATTTGATATTGCTTGGCAATAATCTTATTTAAAATCACTCTGAGGTAAAAATCGATAGTATTAAACACGAGCCCCTTATATTTTACAGAAAATTTAAACAAATATAATGTAATAGTTTGATTCTTTTAAAATAGCTGTTGCCCAGCTGGCGTGGTTCAGTAGTTAAGCATTTACCTGAGAACCAAGAGGTCACTGCTTCGATTCCCAATCAGTGCACATGTCCTGGTTGTGGGCTCGGTCCCTGGTGGGGTAGGGTGCAGGGGGCAGCCGATCGGTGATGTTTCTCTCACATAGATGTTTATATCTCTGTATCCCCCTCCCTTTCTCTCTAGAAATCAGTAAAACCATATTAAAAATAAAGTAAAATAGCTGTTAAGTTGAAGGACCCACTTGTTCCTTGTTTGATAAGTTCGGAGTCTTCATTGCTGCTGCTACTTACTCTTAGTTGTTTACCTGCCTATTGAAGTCTTCTTTTGAACGGGTTCCTTCAGAAACATAGATTTCCGATTTAGGTTTAAAAGATAAACTCCACTTGAGTTTTACTTTCAGCGCAGCCCAATAAGAGCCTCCACACAGCAGTAAGACATTGTTATGTGAACCTGATAATAACCAGACAGTCTTCTTCATTTGGGTCCTGAACCTCCAGTTGACTTTCCATTATCATTTCCTTTTCTTCCAAAGTATTAGGCTTGTTTTGGTTCCAGATAGTCTGACTCAATTTGTAATCCTGTAGCCCCTCTTCTTCCATGATGGAAGGTTGCCCGGGAGCCTTCTACCTCCCTTTCCCTTAACTTAGAGAGGCCCAAGAGCCACAGGACTCTGTACAGCATCCAGAGAGCAGTGGACAACTGTCCCATTTCACACTCCACCATCCCTGGTGACTGGTGCACCTAAGTCACTCCCTCCTTACAGCTCTACTTGGGAATTAATTATCAACTTCCTGGATCAAATTATTTACATTATTAATACTAAGCATTAACTCTTTTCATTAATTTATGGCCCGTAAAAACTTTTTTATAGTTAGCTTTGGTAGATACATTTTTTTATTTATGACTTCATAACTTTAATATCATCAATTGATAATTTAGTAGAATATCAATAATCTTTAGTCCTCAAATCCAAACAATATGGATTTTGTAATTTTGAGACTTCAGATTCTTTTCAGCATGATTCGTATGCTTCCTTTAGGTTTTAAACTTGTCTACTTAGTTTAGTTTTAAAATAATTAAATGAGGCAAAACATGTTTTGGTATCATTCCTTCTACTTTTCAATTGTACCAATTATGTTAACTATATATGGTTGTATTAGTTTGCTGTGGCTGCCATAACAAAGTATCACAGACTGTGTGGCTTAAAAATAATAGCAATTTATTTTCTCACAGTCAGTTCTGGGGACTAAAAGTCTAAGATCAAGGTGTCAGCAAAGTTAATTTCTTCTGAGGTTCTCTCCTTGTTTTGTAGATGGGTCTCTTTCTCCCTGTGTCTTCACATGGTCTTCCCTCTGTGCTTGCCTGTGTCCTAATCTCTTTTCATTAGGAGACCAACCCTAATTGGATTAGAACCCAGTTTTTAACTTAGTTACTCTCTTAAAGACAGTATCTCCAAATATAGTCACATTCTGAGGTATTGGGGGTTAGGGCTTCAACATATAAATTGGGTAGTGGTGGGGGGTACACAACTCAGTATATAATGATGACACTTCACAATGTTTTAATTTGCCAAAAAACTAAAACATGGAAAGCATGTGTTCGTTTCAACTTTGTAACAGCACAGTGAGGAGGAGCCAGAGTCACAGTGAAGCCTAGTTACCTGCTCCAGGCCTGTTGTCTGGGAGAATGCAGAACTAGAGCCTGAGTCTCTTGATTTGAACCTTGCTATCTTTTTTTTTTTAATATATCTTTATTGATTTCAGAGAGAGGAAGGGAGAGAGAGATAGAAACATCAGTGATGAGAGAATCGTCGTTGATTGGCTGCCTCGTTTCCCACGGGATCGAGCCTGTAACCCGGGCATGTGGATCGAACCTTGACCTCCTGGATCCTAGGTCGATGCTCAATCACTGAGCCACACCCGCCGGGCCGAACCTCACTATCTTTTTACTCTGTAATGCTGCACACTGAAATAGGACTTGACAGTTGTATAGATCTTTGAATGTTTGGGTGTATTTAATGTGCATATTTTGGATCATGACCTATAAAATTCAGTCAGATTTCTACTGTACATTATTTAGTCACAGCTTTCTGACTTTATTTAATACCCTTTTTTTCGTGCTTTAGTTTCTGAAGCGTAGGTCAGTGTCTAGAAAGATTGGTAAACTACTTAAAACTTAATTCCCAAATGAAAAAATAAAACATATCAAGGAATTTCTAGAGGTTTATGTCATGAAAAAACATACCCCTCAAGATTTATTTTTAGTAAAGGATACATTTTATTTCCAGCACTGAGGGTTTTTAATAATTTGGTCACCTGCCAATGGAGCAGATAGGGGGGAAAGGGACAATATTGAGCTGCTGAGCTCTACTTCTACTTTTCCCATGGTAGTTATAATCTCCAGCATTAGCACAGCCTGAGCTACCAGTACCCCTTTGGCAGCCCTGGCTCAGGAAATGCCAGCTCTCTCCTGCCCTGTCAGAAACCCTGCCAATGGGTTAACATTTTAGTAATTAATCGTTCTGATTGGTGAGAGTTGATTCAATTCTGCCATGAACCTGATGAATCTTTTTTCTCTTATTGTTCCTATTAGCAGTCCCTAAGTGTCTCTTGTAAACCCCGGAGATCGCTATTTTGTCTTATAATTCTTTTGCCTTGTATCTTATGCGTGTCTTAAATATGTGGCTATGTCAGAGCTTCCTATATCTGATTACTTGTATCAAATGAATATCCTACTTTTAAAATAATACAAGTATGAATATGTTTAGATTTATTTAATGTTATTAAAATTCAAAGAAGAAAAGTTGATAGATGTATTGATGACTGCCTTTTTAAGAACATCTAAATAATTAAAAATAATTTTCTTTGAAAGTTGGCCAGGAATACTTTGCCCTGATCCTTTTAAAGGGAAATATGTGACCTATGACCTGGATGGAAATGTTGAACAGTATCACATAGAATTCCTGGGTGATCCTCATTCAAGATCATGGATAAATGCAAGATTTGTTGGGCATTATAGTATCACATTAAAGGTAGGTAGAATGATAACTTTATTCTTCTTGTACTTGTTTTTAATTGTGGCCATTTTTTACTCAGGTCCTAAAAGATACATAATTATTTACTTTTATATTTATGTAAAGAAATAGTATATACTCTTTAAACTCACATATTTTTATTTTTAAAGCAGTTTTTCAAAGGAAGTATGGATATAAAAATAATTATGGGGTACTTTTAAATTTTATTTTTCTAGTAGCAATATAGTATAAATCAACTGAGGATTTCATATAATTGCCTTTTGAAATAATTTTAAGATTATCATTTGGTAATTTTTCAGTTCTCTTGAGAAGACTCTACATTGTAGCCCTAACTCACAGGGAAAATTAATTATGGAATGCAACCAGATTTTCATATTTCAAACAGAATATTTCATTATACTAACTCCTTCAGTACCTTTTTGATTCTTTTTAAACCTTAAATCACACACTGCAATTAATGAATAGAGTGGACTCTCAGGTTGATGAGAATAGGTAAACTGGACCTTCTTCCATGAGTTTGGTTTGATCATTATAAATTAACTCAGCTATCTGTGTCTGTATTCTAATATTAAGACTTTTCATCTGCAAATCATGCTTTCATTAGAAATCTGACTGAAAAGTAGATGTCAGAAATGTGGACTCCTTTTACTCAATTTGGATGGTTTCTATTTTATAGTGAGAAGTTCATATATTCAAATATACATATGAGTGTATTTACATTTAAGGCATGCCATTTAATCCATAGTATAAGTAAACTTGTGATTTGAGATACTTTAAAATGGACTTCTATTCTGCCTTTGGCATAAACAGTATCTTTGTTCCTTTTAGCTTGAAAGCAGCTGGAAAGGCTGTTTTATCTAAGTGTGGAATAACATCGCCATGGTAGTTGTGAGCCAGTCATCTTAATGTGAGCACCTTCTGGGCTCTGACTTCTTGGATGTGTGCCTGGGTACTTCTGCTGACAGCCATGGGAGACAGGAAGGAGTATTCTCCCTTCTGCGCCCCCTCCCCTTTTCTAAAGGATGGGGAAACCTAGCTTCTCATGAAGCAGACCTTAGGACCTTAGATATTTGACAATGTGGTCAAGAGTGGGGAATTCTTAATAAAGTATATATTTAAATATAAGTAAAAAAATCAAAGCATATTATAAAATTGTCAGAACTAGTAGTACTTGTAGGATTTGAGTCGTATCATGATGAATTTGAGTAGTCTGGTGTCAGTGAGCATAAAAAGCTGATGCAAAGCAAAGCCAAACATAAAAATCAGTAGCCATAAGTTTTTAACCTTATGAAAGTGTTAAAGCAAACTTAGAAATTCTTACAAAGACCAGGAATTAAGGGCTGCTTAAATTAATGAAAGTGTGAGAGCAGAAGAAAATAAAGTGTTTCTTGCTCTTCCTTCTCCCACTTTCCCAACTAGTCAGGTGCTCTAGTTTTTAAAAATAATTCCCCCTGGTTGATGTGTTAATAGGACCACTGAATTAGTAATTTTATTGTTGAAAGTGAAAAAGAACTCTTATTGTTCATTCATACAGATGATAGGGTTTTCTCCAGTAAATAAATCTACTCATAGATACACTGTGATATACTTTAGAAAATAGTTGAAGGCAATATTTAGGTTGCATATTTGCAATTTATATTGGTTTAGTCATACATAATTTTTTCATTAATAAAAATCAGTAGCTTAAAGAAAGCTGAAGTTCCCCCTCCTTTTAAAGAAACTTTGATTCTTTTTTTTTTTTTTTTAGAATCCTTCCTTTTTAAAAAATATATCTTTTATTGATTTCAGAGAGAGGAAAGGAGAGGGAGAGATAGAAACATCAGTGATGAGAGAGTCATTGATGGCTGCCTCCTGCACGCCCTGGCCTGGGAGTCAAGCCCGCAACCTGGGCACGTGCCCTGACTGGGAATTGAACCCCAATCGCCTGGATCCTAGGTCGATGCTCAACCACTGAGCCACACCCGGCTGGGTGAAACTTTCATTTTTAAAAGTCTGTATTTAAAATATATATCACTCTGATAATTACTCAAATAAAATAGACATGACCATGTACTGGATGGCTATTTTTTTTTAAGAGCCAGTACATAGAATAAAATTCTTTCCCCATTGGCACAAATATTTCTTTTGTATTTAGTAGGTACATGTCTGCAGAACTCATTATTTGCAAGTTTGTTTTTTAGCTTGATAGACTAGTATGTGACTTAGTTTACCATTTCAGCCTGGAGTACATTAGAGAACTTTACAAAACAGTAACAACAACACCACCACACAAACACAGCAATGCCTGGGCTCCAGTCTACTGGATCAATTACATCAGAATCTCTTGGAGTAGGGCTAGGCCTCAGCATTTTAAGTTCTTCAGGTGCATCTAATGTGCAGCTCGGGGGG